TTTTGCTTTTATCAGCAAACTTTACAATTCCTGTTCCTTTCAAATTGCCACGAGAAAAACAAAAAGTAGGATTGTGTCCTAGTCACTGCACCAGGAGCCCCAGGGATGCATTCAGAAAGCATGGTATAGCTGTCCCTCTTCCTACACACAACTATTTCTGGCTTGGTCTGTTTAATACCTGGCTAGTACCTCTTCAGACTCAGCCTTCTTAAACACAGGTCAGAGCAAAGAGACTATGTTCTTTCCCAGAAGAGTGGGATGAGAGTCTGTTTCTCTCTGTGGATGTAACCAAATGGTCAGTTCCCAAAGAAGCTGTGTGACTTGATGTTAAGTCATTTTTCTTGGCTCTGTAATTTCTGTCGAGATTGCTTAAACAAAAGGTTTCAATAGCAGGAAATTGCCCAAGTGAGCCCGGGCTGCACATACTTCACAGAGAAGGGCTGGTGACCCAGCATTTTAAAATGCAGCGTGTGACACAGGGCAGGGAGGCTGCAAGGGTTCACAGCTATATCCTTTGCCTTTATCTGGGTGACTTTGTTTTTTCCATGGAACAGGTTGAGTAGTTTTTGTCAGTGGTTTCTGAACTCTGAATGTTAATGTGTTCACAGAAAAAAAAATGCCAGGTCTTAGATAAGTTACTTTAGAGGACCCAACCTTGCATCAATGCATAAAGCAAAAAAACTGAATGAGGAAGAAATCTTGAGCACTGCTGCTTGCCAACAACCTTCTGATGATTTGGGAGACTGAGACCGCAAGGTAAATTATTAGTGTTTTGTAGAAGGTGTCTGTGTCAGCGCCAGAAATTGAAGATCATGCTTCTGAGACCCACATCTGTGACTTCAGCATCTGTATCTCCTTCTGCCATGTGGGCAGGAGATACTTGACTCTTAAGTCAGCCTCCATGCTTCCCATGTGCTAAACCTCACAGATAAACACACGGGCAGACAGTTGACAACTCCTACTGTACTTTTAAAATTGGATTTGCACAATCCTGTTTCAATCAAACATTGACTAAGACGTGAGTGAAACCCTTCTACCCTGCCTGTGCAGGGCCATTTGCATGCTCTGTCTGTGCAGGGCCATTTGCATGCTCTGTCATCAGACCCCTACAAGTCTTGCCTGTAAATTTTCCCTTTGATGAAGGTTTTTTCCCCCCAGTTTTTCTGTCTCACATATTCCTTTAATTGCTGGTGACATAATGAGTTCTATGGCTTTATTCTTAATGTGCTACTGGGTATTTCCTCTATAAATTCTGAACAGTTTAGAAGCAATCAGATGTTGGGCGGTCTGGCAGAACTCAGGATCTTGTTTTGTGGGACTTTGTGGGATTGAAATGCTTTGTGCTTATGCCTGTGTATATGAGCCGGTCTCATACAGAAATGAGTGAGGGAACTGTTTATTTATTGACAATTTTGGAGGGTGTTGGACAGAACAGTGGAATCAAAAAATTGATCCAATGCATTTTGCCTCTAAGGCACAAGCTTTTTATTGATGTCATCCATGGGTAAATCCATCTATCTGCCTAGGAGGAATCCATCCATGAGAAAGGAGCAGGAACAGCCTAAGTGGAGCAGTAGTTTGTGTTCATTTCACCCAGTTTTGCTCCCTGTGCTGTTTCCATCTTTGTTGATACTGCCAACTGGACCGCCTCAGCGGGCACGCTGGCATCTTTCCACTCTGCACCGAGCATTATTAATGGCTCTTGGACACCCATTCATTTGGAGGCGGTTGGTGCTTCGCCTTCTTAGGAATTCCCAGAATCGTGCAGATGCAAAGTGGGTGCAGGTTTTGATGTTCCAGATCCAGCAGCAGTGATCAGCCAAGTAAGCTCCCCTCTCTCAGAGCAGTCTGTATGCAGTGGCCGAGACACGTTGCCGGTGCCGCTTGGTCAGGAAAGCAGCGTCTGCTGACAGGTGACCTTTTGATTTTGCAGTTTATGCTCTGCTGCTGTACAACGGTTGCATTTTTAGCCTGTATATTGCCGTTGTATTGCTTGCCTTAAAATGAGGTGTGGTCAAGTAAGGAAGCTGGCTGTGAACCTTTTGATGTTGCTGTGCATCTGACTTAAGTAAGTCAGACAGGAATCTCACCAGGCCTTTCTCTCCCTTCCCTTCCTAGTTTCCTTGCAGCAGGTCAGATATAGTGGTGATAAACAGTAGTGGAAAACCTTGTAATCAGTCTGTGTGTGTCCTTTTTCCCCTGTACCATTTTCAGTGTTGAGCAATTTAGAAAACATTCTGAAGATCCGTTAAAGATGCTCATGTCTCTTCAAGTGCCTCAGGGTAGGCTATTTGCACCTTAAAAGCTTATTGGGCATCTCTGGGTGCTCAGTACTGGCAACTTAATCTCTATGTTCTCCAGCCAGTTCTTGGAACAGTTCTTTCCTGTTGTGTTCTTGGAACTGGCTGTAGGTAAAGAAAGCATTGTACAGCTTCCATGCTATGTGCCCCTCTGCAAGAATCCCTGCTGTCTGAACTGGTCTGAGCTCTGTTGCCGCTGCTTCCTTTCCCAGATCTGCAGGGTACCAATGGTTTCCAGGGCTGTGTGAGCCCTCTGACCTTGACAGCGTGGCTGGCTGTTGGGCAACGATGGTTCCAGGGCTGCAGTTGTCCTGTAACAGGACAAGTGAGCTGAGTCGTCAAATCGAGCTGTGGGCTGGTACTTCTCACATGGGTCGCTGTGGATGGTTGTGTGCCTTATCTGCTTCCTGTTAGTGCAGGATATATAATAGTGCTGGCTGTTCATCATGCTGGCTGTCTCTGTAGGATGGAGGAAGAGGTAAAGGACAATTAACTGCACTAGTAAGTACAGCAGTTCTTATGTACTTTATATGTTAGCATGTGTATCTTTATGTGTATGCAGGGGGCAAAAAAATATGAATGCCCTCATTTTGTAAACACAAGAATAGCTTCCTATCCTGGTTTCATTTAGGCACCTTCATGTACTATTAATGGCTCAAAAACTGAAAGATATATCATTGCTTAATAGGATTTGTTACTAACAGAAGCAGTCTTTAGACCGCTCAGCACAGTGGGATCTCTTGGCAGGGTAGGGAGACAAAGTCCATTTAAAATCTGTCGATAATCAATTCCTGGTTTTTTGTAATGTTGAAAAGGAGAAATTCAATTGCAGACCATACCTCAGGCTAGCATGTGTTTTTTTAATTCCATTTTGTGAACTTCCTATTCTGAGTGCTATGGAAGTGCTCCTTGGATTCATCAAGCTGTCAGCAGAGTGTTTGGAAAATGATGCCTTTTGCTACTGCTGCCATAGCATCTGCAAAATGTGATGCTTTTCATGCTGAGAAACTCAAATATTTTAAATAAATGTCAAAGCCCACCCAAAGTGCTTGACTGATTGATAGCATGTGCTTACATTATTGCTCTGAAGTGCAGCACGCCACTCAGGTTGCTTTCTCCTTACGTGCTTTGGGATAGGCGATGCCTTCTGTTGGAGGTGGTGTGGACATACCAACATCAGTGGCAAAAGGAAATTAACTTACCCGTCGTGAATTCATGGTATTTAACTTTGCCCGTTGTGTTTGCCTTTGGTTAAGCATACAGTTAACCTCTTTTCATTCCAATTAGTTGAAAACTAAGGATTTCCTTCCTTCTGTTTTGAACTGATATGTAAGAGGAAATCCGTAGATGTTCCTGTTTTGAGTAAACCTTTTACTAAGGAGTTCTGCTTGTGCATTTAAAAAAAAATAGAAAGAAAGAAAAAGGTAGTGTTGATTCAGACGTAATGCTAAAAGTAGCAGATCCACTTCTGAAGGCTCTGCAGCCGAAGAGCACAGTACAAAAATGCTCTCTCCCTGTTTACTTTTAACCTCTGGTTTGTCTTGGATCTGATTCTTGGTAGGCGGTCTTATCTTACAGAAATTGCAGCCTCTATCACCACCCCCTTTGTGGAAAGGGTCCTGCCTGTAAAAGCATGAAAATGCATCCTCCTGGGTTGCTGTTTTTCTTCTTAGCAATATGCTTCACTCCCACAGCTGACTGCCAGAGTCAGAAGGTAAGTCCGCAAGTGTTTGTTTGAATGTTCCGAGAACGGTTCTTCGTATTTGGACAGTTGCGTGTTGTAAAATAGTCCTCCCCAAAACTCCTTTTTTCATTGGCAGTTAGTTAGGTGTACAATAACATCCCTGATGAAACTTTAGGACTGTCGAGTATCTTCTTTGCTTATGTGTAGGTATGTGTGTAGTCTAAACTGAGGAACTAAAAATAAAAAATAAGGTTGGAAGGGAGCTGCTTGAATTTTAGATCAGATTAAATTTGTCTTTATGTTCAGCACTGAATGTGGAAGTAGCAATGTGAAAGGAATATACTCGGTGACTTTGTCTTCCATGATTTTCAGTACGTGTGATGGGATCTTAGCAGCCGGCAGGACAGGTCCAGAAGTTTCCCAGGAGAATGTTACACAAAATTTCTAAATCTCATCAAACTGTTGCTGCGCAAACCAGTAAATACCTTTGTTTCAATTACATTTCCCAGCAGCTCCCCAGTGAGGAGCGTGAAACGCTGTTTCCTTTTTGTTTCCATTCTGTTTCAATTTTGTTGATTTTATTTCAGTTTCCTTATCTCCCTGCTTGTGTTTGGCAACAGCATCTAGAGGAGCATATGATGGCATTGTAGACCTGTTCTCTGGGCTCCCTGGTGAGGCATCCCATTTTCTGTAGGCTAGAATTCACACTAATTCATACTGGTTTGTCTTCTGCCATCGCCCTTCTTGTGTCCTGCTGCTGGAGGAATGAACTGGCCTACAAAGTCAGCAGCTGTGTAGGGCATTTGAAAATCTTATTTGCTGGGAATCAAAGCTATGCAAGGGTTGTCCTGAATGACAAAAAGGGACCTTGTGGGGAGTGGATAGACTGGTGCTAACAAAGGTGATTGTGAGCCTGAAAGACTTAATTTAGAAAAGCCAGAGCAGTGAAAAGATGTTTCAGTGTCAGAACTTTGGGTGGAAGGTTTTGTATCAACCCTTTCATAAAAGGGCCATAAATGACGGATAAGCATACGGATAAGGTAAGAAGTCAGGAACCTTTGGGTTTGTAGGTTAATTAAGGTGACTTGTGCACAAACATGGTTTGAAGAAGTGTCCCTGCTGGTGGTTTTGTTTGTCTGGAGGCATGGGTTCCAGGTCGTAGTGTGTTCAGGGGCATGGGCTCACTTCTTCAGCTGCTGCCAGTCAAAATTTTGGTCTCTTGGGTTTGAGACGCAGTGTTGATATCTATAATCGCTGAGGTGTCTGGCTTGGCGTGAAACAGTTAAAATATCGGGATAGTGGGTGCCCACTCGCAGTGAGTGCACCTCTGGAGCAGTTTATTTAATCCAGGAAAAAATAATCCCCTTCTAGAATTTTTTCCCCAAAAGGTTCCCTCTTTTTGGCGAAAGAGAAGAAACATTTGAAAGGACATAATGGGAGGTAAGGAAGAACAAGGATCTAAGGAAGTCTTCTCCAGTAGTTTAGGACGGCCATTGGGTTAGATTGCAACAGAAGTGCTGTGATTCCGCAAGAGGCCTCCGTTGGCTTGCTGGAGCCTTGCAGGAGCCATCAGGAGTGACAAGAGAGCTTTTTATCAGTGATGTTACCTCGGAGCTCTGATTTGATGGCTCAAATGTGACAGCAGATTTGTTAGCCTGGTTTGTTCCTTGTGTTCCTCTTGGTATGGGCTGGGGAAGATGCAGCAGATGTGAGAGCCGTGGAAGTTTTTCTGCTGGGAGAAGGCCAGTCCCAGGCAGTGCTGGAGGAGGAAGGGAGGCAGGTGGGAAATGATTGGAGTGCTCTCTGCATCCCTCTGCCTCCAGTGCTCTGCACCTGAGATGGTGGCAAACACCCAGGGCAAAGGTAGGTCTTGTGGTACGTGATCCTCTGAGCTTGGCTGTTCATTCTCATGCTGAAAAGTGTCTTCCTTGGACAAGTGTGAGGGGTTTGTGTGTCCAGGAGCCTCTGGTCTGTTCAGCTAAAGCGTTACTGGGAATTTCTTGGGAAGGTACAGGACTATAATGACTCAAGCATGTGTCTACAGCTCTGTTCTTTAAAGGGCAAATGCACTGGAAACTGGTGATTCACTAGATAATGACAGGCTCCAGAACTGGCTCTCAGGATTGTTGGAGCCCAACACTGACGTCCAAATGTGTTTTTCTTTTTTCCTTGAGGTTTTGCTGTAGAAGGATTTGTGTTATGATTTGAGAGGAAAAGATAAAGGGCAAAAATGAGGGGATGAAACTAGCCCTTAAAAAAAATTCCCCAACTTATTCTCTTGAGGTGGAATAAGCAAAACATGAGTACTTGAGAAGTAAGGAACGTCTTAAGCGGGGATTGAGAGGAGGGAAGTAAGCACGGCAGCATTCAGAAGCTCAAATATGTCTCAGCTGAGCAGAGCGGGCAGTGGCTGCTCGTGCACATGCGTGTGGTTGAGTGCAGGGAGCACACGCAGTCCAGCCCTGGCAAGACATAGCTCAGTCTGGACAGACACCCTGGCTCTTAACTTCTTTCGCCTACTGCTACATGACTTCCACTGTAAAAACCTCCTTTCTTTCGGAGCTGTTGGAAAGCACCAGTTGTCTTTTTCTGTTGCTTTGTACCTGAAGTTTGATACACCCCAGCTCATAACATCATCTGATCTGAGTCGGGGCGGGTGTCACCCCCTTTCCTCGGTGTAGCCACTGTGCACCTTGCTGGCTCTGCGCCCACCAGGCAGCACAGCTGCATCGCAGGGACAGACATTCCCTCTCACTCCTTCCTCTCCAGCATCTTCAAACTTAGAACCAGCAGTCACAGATGAGCCCAAGGGAGCAGTGCATCATTGTTTTCCATGAGGCTGTGCCCCAGGAGTCACCTCTGACTCAAACTCCTGTCTATCTTTCATCCCCTCCAAAATCTGAGTATCAAACTGTTGTATTTATGTCCCTTGATTCCCTCTTCTGCTTTCCTAAGAAGCAAAACACTCCAGAAAATGACTGCTTCATCAGTTTTGTCACTCAAATAAGAAGGGAAATATATTTTTTTAATCATTTTCCACACAGCTGTTTTCTTCCTCTTTCGTCCCACCTCTTGCTGCTGACACAAGCGTATTTCCTTATAAAAAGGGGAAGATCTTATTGGAAAGTTGCCTAAAGCTCAGTAAGTGTGCTGGGAAGGTAGGACAGGGGGTATTCCACAATAACTGGCTTTTCTTATTGGCAAATAATTGAAGATGCCAATGGGGAGGAGTGACAGCTCTCCTCCTCTCCCAGTGTCCATCCCCATTTAGAGATGGAGCCACATTGCTAAAGGAAAGAGAAGGAGGGTGGAATAATGTGTGAATAATGGTGTCTTCCGCCACTGTGACAGAGAACACATTTAACAGCCCAACTCTGACAGCCAACTCCTGATGCCTGGAAGTAAAGATGAAATAGAAAATTGGAGAACTTCAGTTTAGCGGTTTATCCTCTACTGTTTGTGTGGTCTTTTTCATGCAGATAGGGTAGCCCAGACACCCGATAAGGGTTTGTGGGGTAATTCTGACAACGTTAACATCATAACTCATGGGAAGGTGTCCACCTCTGTGTTTCTTCCTTGAGCGTCTTCTCATTCCTTTTCCTGAGGCATTGTTGCAGTGAAGGTTAAAGCTGGGATTTGATGGGACTATAAAGGCAGGAGATGTACCATTCTGTTAGAACGGGTGCCTGGCTTCAGCTGGCTCATTTCAAAAGTCCAGCTTTAACCTGAAGTCCTAATTTGTACTTGGATCAGGTGGGTGGATGGGCTCCTTCCCTACCCCATCAGTGGCACTGCTGATTTTATGAGACAGGAGTACAAAGGAGGTAGCACCTCATTTGTCCATCCATATTGGCTGTCTTCTCTGATTTGCCCTGTGAAAAATGGGACATCTCCTCTGACTCTTCTCTACACCAGTGGGGTGGAAATGTATGGAACAGTAAAGCTGATCCCTCTCTGCTGGATAAAAGTTGGTGCTCACAGAACACGGATAGGTGGATTTGGTGGATCTCAGATTGGTTTTGAGCTGTTTGTAACTCAAGTGAGGGAGTCCTCGACAGAACAGGTTTCTTGGGGATTCTGCCACCAAAAGAGGTGGCGGTTACTGTACAGTAAGGAAAGCCCCAGATGCACAACTGAAAATGAATGGCTATGTGAGGGGCCACCACAGACAAAGGAATCACTTTCTTCATTGAAACTTCATTGAGAAAAAGCTCAACAACTCCAGACAGAGGGAACGTGGGTGTGAGTCAGGAAACTGTTCCAGGGAGATGTCCCTGTGGACCTGGGACTTGAGGGTTATCTCAGGAGGTTTTCCTGACATGGTCTGCTGGCTATCATCTGGGAGGGCCTTCCTGAGCTGTTGATAGCTGATGGGAAGCCATGGGCTTCCTCCCTTGCCTTGAAGCAAATGTATGCATTTAGGCTTAAGTTCAGACAAAGCAAAGCTGAGATTGCTTGATGGGAATCCAAAATAGAGAGTTCTGGGCACAGGAGAGCTGCTGCATTAACAGCATTGTTCAGGATTGGCCTAAAAAAAACCCAGATCAAGGTCTTCTCCCAAAATTTGACCTAACGTTTACATTTTTTAGAAAATATGATGCCTGTAGAAGCACAATTGAGGTGAGCTGTGGTGGTGTTTTTTTCCAGTCAGTGACCTTTTGGGACGAACACAGCTCATGCCTCCCAGCTTTTCTCTGCCATCGTCAGTGGCAAACATTGTCTCTTTTTAAAATGATCAATGAGGTTTCCATGCAGTGGCTCAACTCCAGCAGTTTAGGAATACAAGGAAACCCTTTTGGGGTAAAATTGTGATCTTTAATGACAAGCTGGCATATGATGATGATGATTACTTGCTCTCAGGCTGTATGTTTTTCATCTGCTCTGGCTGTGTTTCATTTGAGAAGCAGAGTTGGTGGGTACAGGGGTACAGAATAAGGAAGTCTAAACCCCTAAAATTACTCTAGTTAGGTGGAAGGATTAATGCTGAATTTATTCACCAGCCAGGTGAATTATGCAAGTCTCCTACCTAATCTTCTTGTCAGTGTTCATGGGGTTCTCGTCACCTAGGGTCAAAGCATCAGGGGCCATCCAGGTGGGCAGGGAATGCACCTTTCCTTTCAATCCAACCTCCTGCCCCTCGCACCTTCTTGAAGACAATAGCCATGAGAAATAGTTGTGTGACCAGCTCCTGGGCTCCAGGAAACAGACTGAACTAACGCATTCCGTTCTTCAGACCCATGAAACAGCAATGATACCACCAGTGAACTGCGTCGTATCAGTGGCATGGAAAACAGAAATGCTGTGTTGTATTTCAATTCAGTGTTGTCTGGCAAGGGTTGTTAATTTAGGGCTTGTCCTCACATACCACTACCACATGTTTGCCAAAGATCAGCGTAAATTAACGGAGGACGGTTATGATTATTTTTGAAACGGTTAGAATTTTTGCTGTGAGGCATAGGGGAAAGATAAGATAGCTGTGATCTGCCCTACTGCCTTCTAGCTGAGATCCCAGCAGAGTGCCATGCGGCAGCGTGATGTGATGGTTTAGCCCATATGAGTGTGTGCTGTACCTCCCAGCAACTGCACCAGTCACTGCCCTCCCCAGTGGCATCTAAAAAATGGTGCAATGTTGATAAAGGTATTAAAGGTTGGCAAGATGAATGGCTCAGGTAACAATGTAATGTTTGGCTTATTTCCACTCTGTTTTTTTCTGTTTAAGTTAAAATCCATGCGATGCAATATCAAGACGATGTTTACCTTGAATACAGCGTGTACTGCGTGTGCTGCAGTGCCTAGAATGTTTTGTCCAAGAGGCTGGTTAAAGACCACCCAAGGATTGGGAGTGAGGGACTGCAGGTAAGGCCTGTTTCCTAACCACGTTAAGGTTTTGGTGCAGCTCTGCTATGCAAGGAGTAGTGTCTGTGCCTTCAGGAGAGTTTTGTTTTCAGATGCATAAAAATGGATTTTTGACCCCTATTATTGTTGCTTTTGTCTTCTGGCAAATCCCACGGGCTTTTTGCTGGGCATAAGGTTCTGTATACACAGAACAAATTACATGACAACTACTGATAACTTGCCCTAAGCAGCCTGAGTTTGCTAGTCTGGCTGTAGCAATTTAACAGGGGCCTGTCTAGCACAGAAACCTGTTTCAGACCCAGAATCCCGTAGCGGATAGTTGGGAGAATAATGTCATGATAATTCCCCTGTATATCCTCCTAGCTTCCGGCAATAATCCTCTGAACTTTTTACCTTCCTACTTTGCTTTATGACAATTGCTTGTTCATGTGTTCCTCGCTCTTATTCTGTTGAGCTTGGCTCTAATAGGAAAAGAGTGAAGGAAAACTGAGTTTACCAGGAAGTTTTTAAAAAATGAAACAATATAGATTATTGTTTGTGTATCTATTCATTAGGGAATGTTAAAAGTTAATATATAGCTCCATTGTCTACTGTTTTCTGTAATTCTCTATTCTGTTGAGATACTCTAAAAATAGCTGGAGCAGTTTTGCAGTTTATGGCAGTTTTTGCACAGACACACATAGAAGCAGATTAAAGCCAAAGTGGCAGTGCTCTTGAGACATTTTCCAAGTTCCTTGTGGGAAGGATGTTGTGCCAAAAATAAAATGAAGTGTAAGAATAATGTGAGTGTATGCAGCTTTTCTGAGTGTTATCTGCTCCGGTGGTAGTTCCAGGAATAGTCCTGTACTGGGTACGTGCAGAACATGAGACACTGCCACCAAGGGCTTACCCTGTGTGTAGAGGTGATGGATGGAGGGTTGACAAGAAGATGCTTGTTTGAGGGATTTAAGGGATTTGTCCAAGATTGAATAGAGAATCTGTGAACAACACAGCTATTAAATCCAAATTTCCAGTATCCCAATCTTGAATCTTTAGTGCACGACAGAAAGGGACAAGTCCTGCAAGAAGACTTTGTTCTTCTAAGGTTATTTCAGTGTGAAGTCAAACGTTGTGTCACCCTGGAGATCCTAGCTTTATTTCTGTGCTGTCTGATCCTCCAGCATCCAAGGTTTCTGACCTGATGCCCTCAGACTGCAAAGGTTCTGTTTCATATTCAGTCCCTGGCAGATTTCTTGTAGCCAGTCTTTGAGACTCAAATCAATGGGCATCCTTAGAGAAGACATAACCCGAGTGCAAAACCTTGTGTGCGTGTATGGGGAAGGAAATGAGTGTCCAGCCTTCCATCCAGAGTTCAGTGCACTGCAGCGTGATTGCTTAGAAACCCTCCAACAGGCGTGTGGTATGTTTGTGTCTTAATCATGCGTCTTGGGTTGTTCTTTTTAAGATACACTGTCAAGTTAGGAGAAAATACCCTTTCCCAGCCAGGGTGCCATCACATTTGTAAGAAGGAAATTGAGGAAAAGAAATGCTGTCCAGGATTCTGGGGTACAGAGTGCTATGGTAAGTTTTTTATCTTTTCGCAACGTTCTCTAGCCGTTGAGTAAGTCAAAACGGTTTTAGTAGGGGGCATTAAATATACATTGAGGTGATTAGTTTTCATTATTCCTCAAACATTCACAAGGTCTCCATTATCTGTCTGGGAAGTTCAGAATATAATGGGGAAGGAATTCCTGCTTCAGATGGGTTGAATCCTCTTTAACACCTAACATAATCTCCTTTGGTGGAACTTCCTTTTGTCTGTTCTTTAAAAATAAGCTTTTGGAAAGGGATGTTTTTGTTCCTCTTTAAGTTTCCAAAGGAAGAGGAAGATATTTCTTACTAATGTCCCTCTAGTCTGCAGTGTGTGTGCCACGTGTGATCCTGTATAGTCTGGAGTTAGTTGGCCATTCAGCCACAGAAAATACTCAGCAGTTCCAATCCAAGCTGAAAATAACTGTCCCAAAGCTCCCACTCAGGCTTATACCAAATAATGAGTATTTGTTCTGTCTTGTCCCAAAAATCCAAAAGCAAGACCTACTAAGCTAAACACTTGTCATGTGGTTGACTACTGGAATACAGAAAGACACGCTCCAGTCCTGCAGAAAATAGGAGATCCTTGAGAGCTTGAGCCTGTTCTCGCGCAGAAGTGGTTTGAGTAAGCAATTGGCTTCGTCAGAGGAATCATGTGTCTAGAACTTTCAGAAATAGTCCTCAGAATTTGGAGGTACCTCACTCCAAAGATGTGTGGACCGTGTTTGTCTGAGCACATTTCTAGTTCTTTGTGAAGCCAAGGCAAGCTGAAAATGCTCAGTGTCTTTGCAGAGCAGGCTCCCACCTGTCCTGAGTTTCAGAACTGCCCTCAGATGTTTGATACTGCCTCTCTCTGATGCTAGCAGCAGTGACTTAATCTCAAAACATGTTTCAGTGCCTTTGCTGAACTTTAGTTAGTTATGGCCCATTCGGACTTTTCCTTGGGCTTTTAATAAAAGGATTTTTTTTTAGCTAGCAGCCAAATTGCTCCTTGGTGCCACTTCTGGCCATATTCACCAGCTCTGGGCCAGTGTTGGGTGCGTTGGATAGCAGGCAGGGACTTTGCTGGTGAAGAGGCCATTGCTTTTGCACAACTGGAATGCCTGGGGGAAGAGGAGATGGAAAGGGGGGTGCAGTGCTGATTGTTTAATCTTGTCTGGCTTGTCTCTTGCCTGCTAGAGTGTCCAGGTGGCTCTCAAAATCCCTGCAATGGCCATGGGACATGCTTGGATGGTATGCAGCAAAATGGGACCTGCATCTGCAAGGTCAGTGCGTGATTTATCCTGAGGGTGATGATGTGCTTTTGTCAGAGGGAGCAGAGGGAGTTGTGTAGTGTCTGTGAACATGCCTTGGAGGAAGGCTGACCTTCTGTCTGGTAGGTCATTAGCACCTTCTTTCATTCCATCATCAGTGTCTGTGGTTTTCCTTGGGGATTGGTGTGGTTGGCGCTGTTGGTGAGGGTATGGAGTTGTGAAGGATTTCTAGGGAGAAATGAAGAAAGAATTGTAGGGATTTAACCCTCTGATCAGTTGAAATAATCAGTGTCTGTGGCTGCAAGAAGCCCTGAGATACTTGGCTCTTAATGAGCTGCACCTTTTCCAGACTTGGACTTTAAACTTCCCAAATGAATTGGTTCTGCACCTCGGCAGGCAGATCCTCCCTCTCTCAGGAAGAGTAAGAGGGACCAAAAAGAGAATTCAGGGCAGATGTTTACTTTTTTCTTTACAGCTCCAGATTGGTATAACGAAAGCATAAACAACTCCTGTGCTTTTGAATCGTGTGGAGCAGTGTTTCTAAAATTTTTAGCTTAATGGACCAGTGTCAGACTTGAAACATTATTAATAGCATTGTGAAGGGATAAGCTGAAATCCTACCTCTTTGGGCCCTTTTGTGAGGAAGTTACTTTTGGACTTAACACCTTAAAATATGTGCTCAAGCATATGTAAAATCAATGTAAAAAGTTTCATTGGCATTAGTGAATTCCAAATTCCTTTTTGAGAGAGATATCAAAAGCCAGCTGATGCATTCCAGCCTGTGATCAGGATGTCGTTTCTTCAATGCCCACCAGAGTTTTGCTGGCATTTTGCATGCCCTCTGTGTGTCAGCTTACGCTGTGATCTTCTCTGCTGTGGGGGCTCATTGATACTTCTGGAGCACTCAGCAGATCAGTTTTCACTGTATTGCTTCAGCTGTCACAGATAATCAGAACTGGGGAGAGACTTTGAACTACAACAGTGTGTGGAACAATACCATGATACAGAAAAATAACATCTGGGACATTTCGCATCTCTTCTAGGAGCAGTACAGTGGTTTTGCCTGCCAGAATTGTCGAGATGAAAATCGTTTTGGCCCAGACTGTGAGTCAGGTAAGGATGACTAATTCAGGTGAAACTTCCACAAGAATACCTGAGAGCAAGAAAAGAGGAGAGGAGAGGTTGAGTGAAGAAGGGTGCTGGAGAGGAGGAAGGGATGCCAGCTGGCAGTGTTCAACAGCAGGTGTCTTGGCATTTTGACTTTGTGCCCTTCTCCACTGTCCCACTAGACAGATGATTCTCACTCTTTCACTCAAATCAGTCCATGTTTCCTGTTGTAAATCTCTCTCCCTGCTTACCAGGGCTCTCCCAATTTTCCCTCTCCTTTTAGCCAGGCTGTTAACCTACATCCCACACTCACTTCCCAACTGTTTTCCAGACTCCTGTAACTGCCCCACTTGTCTTCCAATTTCTTCCTTTTTGCTTTCCC